GTTAGCTGTCAGAATTTAGTCAGAATTCTGAGATTAAAGTCAGAATTATGACTTTTTTCTCATATTTAGCTGAAATGAAATGTAAAAATCAGTTCACTGTTTTTATTTTTTTTAGTGGCCCTAATCCCCTTCTGTAAAGTCTAAACTTATTTTCACATATTTAAAATGTCCCCATCGTGGGATGGGGCCCCTCAGAGCCTCCTTTAAATAGCCTCGAACAGCGGGGGCGCTATTCCAGGCATCTGGCAGCACCTAACCTGCATTTCCAGCCTCTATTGCAATGCGGAGGCGCTCCACTGATCCTCCCTGGTCTAGTGTGTGTGTGTTGGCTGTTTGGGGATAAAGCACGGCGCTATTCAGTCATGTGATTCCTGCTTTTTTTCCCTCCTCCTGAGTGTGAAGGCAGGAGCAGAGAGCGGTGGAGGGGCCCACATCAGCCCAGATCAGCCCGTCTTTCCTGCTCGCAGTGGATGCAGCGTTTTCTCCTCCTTTTCCCCCCTCCGTGAATCTGTTTCTCACTCAGTCTGTTTGTTTTTTAAATTTTTATTCCTTTTTTTTTTCTTTTTAACGAAACGCTTGTTTAACAATGGCGGGGGCTATAATCGAGAACATGAGCACCAAAAAGTTGGTGATAGTGGGAGTTACTCTGCTTTTGTTCCAGGCGCTCTCCTTCATGGTCGGAGGATTAATTGGTGAGTTTTTCCTCCTTCCTTTATCTGCTGCTCGCCTGTTGAAACTGGACTAAATGCGCAGTTTGAAAGTTGATTTTTATGGAACGTTTTCGCTAAAACGACTAAATGAGGGCCGACTTGCTGTAACTTGTTGAGGGGTGGGGGAGAATCACTGCTGCCTGTGAAGGTGTTTCAGGCAGGGCCGTAGGAAGCTGGATGTGGGCCCCTGGGTTAGACCAGCCTTGGTGCCCTGCCCCCCCCCCAACAGCTTTTCTACTAATTTAACTTGACCAAAAAAAAAAAACAAAAAAAAAAACACACATTTTACACACTTTATGTATCTTTGCTTTGGTCTCCTTCAACTATGGTGACCAGATTTGTGTTTCTATAAAGAACCCTTTTCATACATATATGTGTGTGTGTGTGTATATATATATATATATATATATATATATATATATATATATATATATACACTAGGGCTGAACAATTAATCGCATTTTCAATATAATCGC